TAGCCCAGGCTGGTCTCAAACTCGCAACAATCCTCCTGCCTCAGCCTCCTGAGTGCTAGGAGTACAGGAGTGTGCCACCATGCCTGGCATATCTCATTTCATTCTACTATTAAAATCTCACCCACAAAATATTTACTTTGGATTAGAAGGCCTCCTGTTAAAATACCAATATTTGTGAGAATCCCATATGTAGTATATTATACTCTAGTAAAAATTTAACCAGTTAGCTTTCCTCTTGCAACCTAGCTGGTTAGAACAGCTGCTCTCTGAAGGACTAAAACTTCTGATATGGGTGGAGAAACAGGTGAGTAATTTGGGAATAAGTAGAGTTTTATGGCTGAAACATGCCTGACTGGTAGAGGGCCCCACGGGGCTTCGAGGAACAGAACGGTAGCATATGCAAAGCGGGCATGAGAAGCAGGAAGGTACAGAAGCGGAAATGGCGGGGGCCAGGGCAAGCTCTACATCTGGAAGGAAAGGGAAATTTTATCATTTTCCCCTTTGTTCCTAATAGCTAAAAGACTTTAGACACATTGCTTTATTTTCCAGCATGCTATCCTTGGCCACTTTGTGTACTGTTGGGCAGGACAATTAGCCTCTCTGAGCCATGGTGTCCAATGTGAGAAGCGGATAATGACGTCACTGCCACAGGATGAAGTACACTAATGAATGTAAAACAGCACAGTGTTTGGCGTATCATATTGTTGTCAACAATAACAATAGTTGTTACCACCATTATCACCACCACCACTGCATATCATCATCACTAGCACTCTCACCATCACCATGATCACTACCATCACCATCACCATCACCACCACCACCACCAGTTTGCTGCCATAGTAAGGGCTGCACCCAGAGTCTTTGCACTGAGCTACATCCCCAACCCTGGTTGATGATGTTGTTATTGGCATCATCGTCTTGTATTTCAAGACACAATCTTACTATGTCACCCAGGCTGTCCTCAAATTTGTGATAATCCTGCCTCAGCCTCCTGAGTGCTAGGATTACAGGTATGCACCACCATATCCAGCTTAGACTGCAAGCTTTCTAAGGCATGGACACACTAGCATCCCAGCAGCTGGCCCAATGCTGCTAACACACACTGCCCACATTTCATAAGTGTTTGCTGCCTGAAAGAGTTCTGCTACCATCATGGTTAAGCAGGCTTTTTTTCAGGTAGACTTGTGGGCCTACTCACCATGCAGAGCACAGTCTTTTCTGGAAAATGCATCCTAACAACTCCCCGACACAAGCACAGACTGCCTCTTTCAGGGCCTAGAGTCTAAGGACCTTATTTGTTCCCTGGAATTGCTTGACGACCTTAACAACATAATCCTTACATCTGTGGGCATAACGTTCCCCATTTGTTTTTAAGGACATGGATATAATAGTGATATGAAAATGCCTGATACTCCCTGGAACTGAGTTCAAAGTGCAATTTAAAACATCTATTCCTAGCCGGGCATGGTGGCACACGCCTATAATTCCAGCACTCAGGAGGCTGAGGCAGGAGGATCGCCTCCAGTTCAAGGCCAGCCTGAACTCCATAGCATGATCCTGTCTCAAAAAAACAAACAAAACACAAAAACATATAATCCTTGGAATCACCTCTAGAGCTGTCACCACTTCTTGCTTTCTTTTAGGTCATTTTGTTTTAACCAATATTTTTAGAAAAAAAGGGGTAGGCTTCTAAAAATATTAAATAGATGATGGATTTGTGGGTATTTGTAAGCTTGAAAGTGAGTTTCAACTACTTGAAAATGACTGGTAAAGAAAGTCAGGGACATGTACAAGTTGTCATTTTACAGAGGCGTGTGGTCAACATCATAGACTTGTAGGCGGGGAGAGAAACAACCATCGCTAAACTAGCGGGCAAGTGCTCACTTCAGCAGCACATATACTAAACTAGCAGGCGAGCCGACCCGGCCCCCCAGTACCCACACCTCAGCGCCGTGCTCTGTGCTCATGGCAACACCTGCAAAACTCTTGTGCAGCTGTACTCGATAAAGAAAAGCTGTGCCTCGTGTATATGTACACACATATCCATGTACATATGCATATACAAACACATATACATGTGCACACATATGAACACACATATATATACACGTATACACATACATACACATGCACATACATATGCACTTATATACATGCGTATGTACGGGCACAAATACATACACATGCACATATGCATATGCACATACATGTAAATACACATGTGCACACACACAGAAGGCAGTTGCCGGGGCTGATAATGACAGTAAGAGAAAGTAAGATGAGATGCCCCGAGGAAAGGCACCCCATGAATGTTAGAGGACCAAGCAGCAGGGAGAACCGTGAACGACCTGTAAGGAGCACCTCAGGTCACGTGTGGGAGCAGTGGGAGGGGCCCACAGGGAAGTAGGCAGGAACTAGACTGTGGCGGGCCCTGGTGACAGCTAAGGGATTTGCCCCAAGGGCAGTGGGGTTCTACTTATGTAGGAAGTGACACAGTGAGGTTTTACTTTAAAGGAGCAGCTCTCCTCCCTACGTGGAGAATGGATCAGCCTCGCCAGACTACAGGCAGGAGGCCATGTCTATGGTGTTTGTGAAGAAGCGACAAAGACCGGTGTTTTCCAGAAAGTTGACGCCACCAGCTGAATTGAATCGGCTGCTTGCTTTGTACACAGATCCACCTTCAGCTCGATGTTTAATTCCCTCCTCCCATGTTCTTCTGCCACAAGTTTCCTTATGAGACCTGTGCTGTGTGCTGACGGGAAGGCTTCTTACATAGCTGACGCTTTGTTGCTACACAATTTAAATTTCAATCCCATCATTCAGCTTGGCTTCCATTTGGGGCTTGGGAGACGTCCACGTGCCCTTGGACTTCTCCATAAAAAACAATTTACGAGCTTCTGAGAGAACTTGGCATTCCCAAAACTAAAGCCAGACCCTTGAGACTAGCTAGTCTTGGTCTAAGAAAAGGTAAGGAAAGGGGCTGTTATTTCAGATTGTAAGGAAAATATAGTCCTCACCTTTGCCAGACCCTTCTATATTTAAATTCAGACTGACTCGGATTTTCTAGATCCATGTGCCTGACTTCTTAGCAGGAGCCCTGGGGCTCACATTTGACCCTGAGATCTTTTCAGATCTCTAACAACTGCCTGCTACGCCTTTCTCACCCTCCTCCTAATCCAGGAAGACTGAAAGGGAAAATGTGTAACATAAATAGTCTTAAATCTTGTCCCAAGAATTTGATAACGACAATACCAAAAGGCCATCTTAGGTCTCAGTCTCCTGCATTAAACAAGCGGATTAAAATTTATTGTAACACCATAAACACTGTATAGGTCACAGGCATTCTGAGTCACATCATATAAAATAAAGTATTTTTAGATTTTCTTACCGAAAGGTCAGCAAGACCAGAATTATCCTTCCTTTTATAGTTAGGTTTATGCTGGGGAAAATAATTTTTAATAATCTGGATTTTGCACTTATATTTTCCATTTATGACCAAAAATACAAATCCAGGAAAGTACCAAGGCCCGCATTCGGGCTGGGGCCAACAAGTCCATGGGCAAAGCCAAAGGACAGCCGAGGCTTTCTGAGCGCTGTTTGCAGTGCATACATCACCTCCTGGATGCTAAGACACGGCACACTGGGGAAGGGTCCCTGAAAGCACTAAGGGTCCCTGAGAAATGGTGTGTGGGAAAAGGCCCTCGACAGATGTGGAGAGGCCCTGCCTGCACCTCGGGCAGCCACGGCTCTGTAACCGCGGGATGTCTGGTCACTTCGGAGCCGACAGGGCCGACGTCTTCACGAGATCCTGATGCCATCTGGGAAGGAGCCGGGTGGCCCTAGTGGCCTGATATGGTGACTTCTTTGGAGGGAGGTTTCTAGTCTGATATCAGATGGAACCAACCAGAGCTTGCCATACCTAGGGAAACAATGGGAATAAATCTGACTATATTTCATTTTCCTTTAAAACAACAACGTGGAAAGTAAACATTGTCGACAGAGATTGAAACAGAAGGAAAGTTGAAGGTGCCACAGTCCATGCTAGAATCAGACGCTCTTTCCTGCTTTTCAAGTTTTGAGTGTTTGGTGAAGGATCCCAGGATGTGAACAAGGCAAGAGAGGTTCGGGATGAGCCCCCATGTGGCAGGGTCACCTCCGAGGTGGCCTGGTTATCTGGTGGCAGTGCTATCTCCTCGCTAAAAGCCTGTGGTGAGATTAAGGTGGTGTTTGAAAATCTGCTAGGCCTGATGGTGGGCAGCTGAGGTAAGAATGCATTTCTGTTTATCACTTCAGTGGCAGAAACGTACATCCCAGAAAGACGGGGGTCCCGGCTTCAAGCATGCCTAGGCGCAGCAGAGCGTGGCACTGTGACTGTCACATCAGCTCCTGGGCAAGGAGGAGGCCCCAACACTGTGTGCACATCCAGTCCCGTGGTCAGTTGGGCAGGTCTTTGACTTGCTAGCAAGGACTCTCGCCATATTATCCCAAGAGGGAGCTCTCCCACCTGCATTGCTTTTTGACCCAGGAACGCCACCGGAGTTGTGTCTCCCCTCTGACAGCTTGCACCTCAGTAAATTACCAAGATCTTGACCCAAAAGATGAGAAATCCTAAGCTATTTTTCAGTCTCCTATCTGAAAATATGTTTATATTTCTTGAACTCTGGCTGACTGATTCATTTCCCTGGTGTTGCAAGCCCCCCCCCCCGCCCGCATTAGAATTTATAAGCTTCATTTCTGAGTGACCCAGGGTTCTTTCCAAGCCACAGTGAAGTGAACCTCATCGAAGCGCAGTTCTGCTGGGCTGGGTCTGTGTAGAGGGTGGCTGAAGGCCAGGCAGCTGTGTGGGGCAAGTTCAACGAGGCTGACGTGAGGTGCATGATGCGGAGGGAAAGCACAGACACCGAGACGAACATCTGCTCCTGGTTCCTGTCTTGTGCTACCCCAAGGCACAGCCTTGAGCCAGCTGCATAAACCACTGTCTGGGCCTCAGTTTCCCCCAAGCTAGTTTTAAAAAGCAGTGTTCTAAGTCTATGCAGAAGCCATCTTCAAACAAGACAGGAGAGAAACCACAGAAAAGGGAAAGTCAGCCCACAAAGAATAAGTACCAGCTTCAAATCAAAAAGACAAAGACCCAGAGTCACAGATGACTGCTGGCTCTTTTCTAAAAGAACTCCTTATGAGTACCACAAATAGGAAGAACTTTGTGCTGGGCCCTGGTTCCATAGAAGAGCCTAAAAATCCTTGTCAGTAGAACCATGCGCTTAGCCAAATGTGTTCCTCAAACTTCCCTTTGTAAGTATTACAGTTACTTCCTCAGGGAGGAGAATAGAAGAAAGAAATCCATTAGCCCTGTGGAGTTTTAGGGTCTGGGCAAACCCATCCTCCAAATCTCAGTAGTTCTACAACCAGGGGTGAGTGACTACTTTTCTAGTCTCAGCTCCTACACCTGCGGAGAGCCCTGGTAACATCAGCCATGAGTGTCACAGGGACCATGCATCCACCCCAGGCCCACCCTGTGTGGCACCTGGCGTGTGCAGGCTCTGGGGTGTCCACAAGCCCCCTCCTGCAGCCCTACGCTGGTCTCCTGCAGGTACCACCTCTCCTCTTACGAGGGAAAGGGAAGTCTCTGATCTCCATCTGGAAGCTGGCAGAAGCATTTTTCTTCTTCGGCAGAGTGTGATCATGCAAAATTTATATTCAACAGCATCAGCAGATTTTTTTTCCCATCAATATTTCCTTTTTAATTTCAGTTTTATCTGAATTTTAATAGCACAAAAAATTTACTTTTGTTCTTTTAAAAAGCAACCAAAACAAGAAAAATCTAAATTTGAATATAAGGTCTTCCCGGTCTGCTTAACGTGGTGTTTAGTCTGTGCCTGCAGAGCGACAGGTGTTATCTGGGGAGTGAGCACTGCAATGGCAAGCAGAAACACCAAAGTGACACCCAGGATTTGGAGGCAGATTTATTTATGTCGATGGGCACTGATCGGGATCATTCCCAAAATATCAGGCCCTGATCTCTGGGTCCAGGGCTTATATGGGATAAGCAGGCCGGAAGTACAGAGGCACAATGGCTTGTCAACTGGAGCATCCTAGTGACCAGCTGTGCACCACAGGGACCAGCGTTTCTAAGAGACAGAAGCAACCAGAACTGGAACAGGGACTATCACCTGGGCAACTAAGAAACTGAAGTACAATGGCTGAGGGGTGCTGCTACAGTATGAATGCCATGGATGGAAATGTGTTTGTACTCTTACACACATCTGAACTAGGTATGGAGCATATGGCACATATAAACATTCATGAGACTTAGTTCTGACAACCTTGATGCTTTTTCTTTCTGATTCTTACCACAGCTAACACTGCCTCTGGGACCGATCTTCACACGAATCTTCATGAAAGCTCACCTTTGACGGAAACAGCAAAGAAGCAGGTAGAGTACTGACTCTGGGCCTCAAATCTTGGGTTCTTTTCTCAGCTTGCTATGTGACCCTAGCTGGGACTCTCCACCTCTCTGAGCCTCGGTGGTCCAATCAGTAAGACGAGGGGGGCAGACCGGCACATCACAGACTTAGAGTGTCTCAGCTCAGTTCGGAGGCGTTGGCGAGCTCTTCGTGCACGTGAGGGAGCTGAGCCTTTGCCCGACGGCTGCAAAGTCTGACAGGAAGAAGGAAGCACCGAACGGAGCCATCCACTGAGGAGGAAGGCACACATTTTCATTTCTGATAGGAACAAAAAGTTAGCAGTCAAGGAAAAAAAGACAAGGGTAGTCATGAAGACGGGAAAAGGCTTCCTCTGCGTGGTTAGGAATATCTACTAGTGGTTAAAGACACATGTACAGGACTGTTTACAGTCCATGGATGCTCTGAAGCCCAGGCTGGCTTTAGCTGGATTCCCAGGGCTCTAAACCCAGGGCAGCATGTAGCCAGGGCTGCGGGGACCCTTGGGCTCTTCCTTGTGCGTGACAGCCCCTCTGGGCCGCGATCTCCCTTATCTCCAGCTTCCAGCCTTGCCCTGGCTTTCTGGGTTGCATCCCTGTGCCACCACTCATTAAAGAGAACAATAAAAAATGGGTTTGTTTTCCTTGGTGCACCTGCACTGGGCAAGCCTGGGTTCAGGCCTCCCCTGAAGTCAAACAGCTGGCTGCCCGCCTCCTGCTACTGAGGAACCTTAAAATCTACACTGACACTTCTTTGAGTGCCTTTTTTTTTCTTTATGATTTTTGTTTTTGTTTTGAACTCACTATGTAGTTCAGGGTGGCCATGAACTATGTAGCCCACCAGGCTGGCCACAAACTTGCAACGTTCCTCCTGCCTCAGCCTTAGGAGTGCTGGGATTACAGTAAAGGTATGCACCACCTTACCTAGTTTTTAAATGCCTGCTTTGAAGATATCCATTATAAAAAGGGATCTGGAAACTTCTCTTAAACAAGAGAATCTGTAACTAAAGAAACTATAATATGGTATATTTTGGTAATTCCCCCACTCAAGGCCATGCAAATGCCTCCCACAACCTGAACACTCTGGATTCACACAGCCCTGTGCTACACCTCAGGAGATCAGAGTGGCTTAGTGAGGTGAAAGTAAGTCCTAGAGTGACTATGAACTTGGCAGCTAGAGGGAAGTGCGCCAGATCCCGGCTCTTACCTCTGATCTGAGAGCCCCTCCAGCCTGAGGCAAGTTGTCCTACCTGTGGCCCCCTTGTAAAATGAGCAGGTGGCTCCCGCCAGAACAGTGGGTTTGTTAAAATCAGGGTACCCTTCACCCCTTGGAAGGAAAGCGAAGCCATGGGAGGGCAGGTCTGGGAAGCCCAGAACTCTGGGAAACTGGGGAAGCAGGGTGGGGAGGGGCGTCTTGCCTTGCCTATGGCCTTCTGTGAGATTAACCACTGGCTTCACTTAACTACTTCCTCAGCCTACTCCATGCAAATGACTAATCTCGTGTTTACGCTAAAGCATTTGGAAAGGATTAGGAACAAATGTCAGCTCCGCAGATTCGTTACCACCTTGATGGGCCCCTGGCAGCGCGCAGGGCACGCGGAGCGCCCCGAGGGCACCAGCAGGGCTGCACGCTGTCCTCCTGCCCTCCGGGTGGCCGGGTCGCAGGACACTTTCACTGTGCTAAGCACAAGGCTAGCCAAGGCGGGGCTGCCCCACAGGGGAGTCCTCTGGTCTCGCCGCCCTGCAGAAGTCGCGGGACTGGACCGGGAGTTGGTTCCTGGGGCAGCGGTCAGCGCCCCCTGCCGGTGGGCTGGGCCCGCGCGGCCGGGACCGCCGCCGAGAGGCTGGCAGCTCCTGCAGCCTCCTCGGGCTGGAAGAGGAAGAAAAGTGCAAAGAGAAACGTGGAGATGAAAAGAGCAACGAAAAAAGGAGACAAGCAGACGTGGCTCACGTCCAACCTCCCATTTCCGCTTTCAAATGCACGGCCTCCCCGCTGTGAGCAGAATCAAGTATTTATGAAGGCGTTTTTTGCATATTAATAGCTGCATGTGGAAGGAAGTTTGCCGGCTCCGAAGTCCTGAAGCGACGGCGCCCTTTCTTCAGTGCGGGTCCGCCCGCTCCGGACCCCTTCCGCGTCCAGCACCGTGTCCTTCCCGGGTCGCCGACATCAATCGCCAGAGACGCCTTCGTCCCCGGGGCCTCCGTGGAGACGCTGCAGGTTGGGTAGGGTGACCGGGACCTGAAGAGAATATTAAAATTGTACATTAAAATTCCAGAAGGAAATACTAACATGATCTGTGCAGGGACAGGAGAAAAGTACAAGAATTTCATCGACTTTACATGGCTGTCCCTACTCAGTAAAATTACATTTAATTTTAAAAAGGACATTGAGAGTCAGAAAAATAAGCAAAATAAATAAATACATAAATAAACAATGCGTACTTCTAAAAAATAATAATGGTACTAGGAAATGTGGAAAAATATGCAACCTGGACAGCAATTTAAACGCATATCAGGCAAACTGCAGGGACCACTTCCTATTTGAGATCTGTGCCTCCTTCCACATTCGTGACGCTAGCCACCAGGGCTCACTTCCCCGCAGGGGGCTGTAATCTGGCTCAATCCCTTTGTAAAGCAGAATGGCAACCCGGCTGATGAAATGTGGAGAAGCAGTCATACCCACTGATTCAATAATTCTGACTTCTGGAAATGTATCTGAAGGAAATAATTCAGCAGGAGAAAATGTGAGTGAAGGTGTCCATGGCAACATTATCTATCAGAGAGAAAAACTGGAATTGGGCTAAGAGTTTAACCTCGGAGAAACTATGACATGATTATGACCCGGAGGCCTAATTCAGGCATTAAAAACCGATGCTTGTTCGTACTAGAAACTGTGATTTAATACCCATGGCTCAGTGCAGGGTTTCTTAACCTCACTGGTATTTTGAACTGGATATTGGAGCCAGAGTGGTACTGTTTTGGGGAGTGTCCTGAGAGTACTCCGGGAGCTGAGCTGCACAGCAGGACTGACCCCTGGCTCACTAGAGCCCAGGGCCATGCCTCCCTCTGGTGACCACGACAGTGTTTCCAGACCTTGCTACATGGCCCCTGGGAGCAGAGTCATTCCTCAGCTGAAAACCACTAATTTGACATTAATTTCCAAGCTAGGCAGGAATCAGCATCACAGCATCATCATTTTTAAAGTACTACTTTTAGTAGTAGTTTAGTGTTTCACACTAATTGGGTTTTCATTGGGCTATTACCGAACGAGGCCATCAGAATCTACCTTTCGAGGGCCTCGGTCCCTTTTCTGCATGTCACCCCTCTGACTCTGACCCTCAGAGACAATGGATTTGCCTCTTATTCTGAAAAGTCAGGGCCTCAGTAAGGGGAGCAAGGGGGAGAGAAGGAAGGGAAAAGAGATTTTTTTTTTTTTGAAGAAAAAAGTGGAAGTAGAGCTTTTGCAAATGGGAAGGGAAATGAGTTGGAGCAGAGAGGGATGGGAGGGGAAGAGCACAAAAAAGCATTAAGCTACGTTACGGACATGCACAGACGCTCCACCACGAATGTCATCTTTGTCTACTGCAAGCAAAGACTAATACATTTTTTTTAAGTTAGAGTCTTACGTATGAAACTCTTGTCCATCCAGGTCCATCTGTGTAAGCTTGGGACAGGAAAACCCCTGAGCCACTCATTAATAGAGCTGTCAGGGCAGAGAGGTTATCCTTAATTAGTATCAAAGAACAAACCTGGCCCTTAATTAGATTTCCCTAAGAAGCTTGGCATCTCTGTTTAAAATACGAAAGCAACACCTCTCCCCAGTCTTCACCGCCTCTTCTCCTCCTCCTTCCGCAGCCGACCTCCAGCTGGAGAGGCAAACAGCCTCTCTCCCATGCTTTATCTTGGGTGTTTGGTTGCTTTGTGGGGATTAGAACTTTGAGTGCCCCAAAATCCTGTTAGCCTGGAATTATGTTCCTTTTTTCCCCGTATCACTGCTACTATTTCCACCTGTGCTACCTCTTGAGTTCCGTTTTTGTGAGTTTACCACAGCATAGATTCACATTTGGTCTTATGTGTCCTAAATTTGCCCTCTATGGATTTCAGAGAGCAGCCTGTGATTCTAGCACACACGGGTCTGGGTTCAGTAACCTCCATGCACTCCCTGTTTCCTTGGGGTTTCACAGATGGTGTTTGTCTCTGCTGTGGGCCTTTCTCCTGCAGGACAATAAACCCACACACCAACCCGTAGACACACTGTGTTTTGGGCAAAGACGCAAAAGTCACTTTTTCTTTCAGTGTCCTCTCTTTTTTTGTTATTTTTCTGAGACAAGGTCTCTCTATGTATCCCAGGCTGGCCTTGAACTCACTGCTATCCTCCTGCCTCAGCCTCCCAAGGGCTAGGATTACAGGTGTGCACCACCACCTCCCACTTCAGTGTCCTTTTAAACGGTACTATTGCCTGCCTTCTGATTCTCTTTTGGGCAAATGTCGTCTAAAAGAACAAGGTACTTACTGGGCTTTAAAGATGGAGGTTTTTTTCCTTTATATTTTCCTTTTAAAATGCCTAAGTCATTTTATATCCCTTGAATTTAGCACAGCTCCTGGCACAAGGAAGCCACACTTTTTTTTTCTAAATGACAAACAGGCCTGGTGGGGTGGCACACATCTAGCTCTCCAAAGGCTGAGGCAAGAGGATTGCTGTGAGTTTGAGGCCAACCTGAGCTACATAGCAAGACTCTGTCTTAAAAAAAACAAACAGAAAATTAAATTTTAAAATGACAAATAAACCACCAGGCATGGTTGTACAAGTCTACAGTCCCCAGCACTTGGGAGGCTGAGGCAGGAGGGTTACCACAAACTCAAAGCCAGCCTAGGCTACCAAGTAAGTTCAAGACCAGACTGAACTGCATAGTGAAACCCTGTCTCAAAAAGACAAAAAAAAAGTAAAAAAAAAAAAAAAAAAAAAAAAAAAAAAAAAAAAAAATTACCAAAAT